GCCTTGGGTCACTACGGAAACAGCCTCCTTGTATAATTACAAGGGTAAGGTCTGCGTACAACTGACCCCCCAGACCCCAACCAGTTGGGAATATACTGGGTATGTTGGGAATATACTGGGTATGTTGTTGTTGCAAGCTACCCTTCTTCCTCAACTCCAAATTTTATAGATATATCGTCATATTTTTTTGGTAATTATAAGCAAAAGATGGGGCATATGAAATTTTCACCTCATTTTTTTTAACCCTCACTGGTTCAATGTTTCTCTACCATATTTACAGGGTGCAGGAATTGCAATTCGTCCATACTTAGATGATCTAGTGTGTTGTATGTTGGAAAGCCTGTCAAGCCTTGAAGACCAAGGAATGAATTATGTTGAGGTTTAAATGATCTTACTATTATCAGACAGTTACTTCAACTTCTCTGTGGTCCTTCTGCATGTGCATGCGTGTGTTTGTGTGTGTTTGTTAGTTAGTTTGTCAATTCTCAAATTTTCACTCATTCAGCGCATTCATGTTTAGGAGGTCACTGAATTGTGGGAATTACTGTTCTCTATTTTTCTTCCCTAACGATGTGACTATTTTTGTTTCTATCTACTAGTTGCATGCGCAAAATGTTGGGATACAGACTGAAAAACTTGAGAACTTGAGAATTTCAATTGCTAAAGGATCTCCGATGTGGGAAACTCTTGAATTCTGCATAGATGTTATTGACTCCCAAACACTAGAAAACTTGGTGCCTCGGCTTGCTCAGCTGATCCGATCTGGCATTGGTTTGAACACCAGGTTTGTGTCATATAAATTATTAATGGGTGGATTTCTATTTTTTTACGTCTTACATTTTTTTTCTACTCATTATTTTCTATAAATACCATAATTATACTTCTGTCATTATTTTCATAAATCTCATAGTTATAACTACAAACTTGGAAATACGGTTATGTGTGGAAAGAACAAAGTAGCCTGAATTCACTGGATATCAGTCTAATAAATTTAAGTTAGGATAAAACATAAAAGTCAATTTGTCATTTCCTTCCGAGCTGAATGATGCAGTGCCCAATATGCGCATTATTTTCTCATTGCTAATTCGTACAATCATCATATACCATTCTGGCAGGGTTGGTGTAGCAAACTTTATCAGTTTGCTTGTCCAGAAAGTTGGTGCTGACATCAAACCATTCACAAATATGCTATTAAGGCTTTTACTTCCGGTTGTGAAGGATGAGAAAAGTGCTTCATCCAAGCGTGCCTTTGCGAACGCATGTGCAATGGTTTTGAAGTATGCAGCTCCATCACAGGCCCAGAAATTGATAGAAGATACTGCAAATCTGCATTCTGGAGATAAGAATGATCAGATTACATGTGCCATCCTATTGAAAAGCTATGCTTCCACCGCGGCTGATACATTAAGTGGATATCATGCCATTATAGTCCCTGTTATTTTTGTTTCAAGGTTCAATGCAGCTTTTAGTTCATTGCCATTACTATGATAGCTCCACTGATTTTTCCTGTTAGAAATATAAGTTTCATTACTATGTTTTCTTTCTTTACATTTATAATTTTTCCTGGAAGTCCATGTTTTCTTTGAGTGTCGTGAGAAAAGCATCTGCACAGTACGCACAGAATTCCTTGGTAATTTACTGTATTTCTTAATGTAGTTATAGTTAATTCTTCTCAATTGATTACCTGCATCAGCTTTCTCTTTGCAATCATTTATGTGGGAACTAAATGCTATAATGTACCTGCTCCTCTTTTATTATGATTCTACTTATCCTAATTTTGAGGTGAAGTTGCAAGATTGATATTGCTCTGAAATAACATCAGTCAACTCATATCAACTCAGCCTTCATGGATCATCTGCATGTTCAACATCAGAGCAGATACATGCATGTATACACATACAAGTGTTTGAGTGACTCGGGGATGAAGCCAGCTCCTGCTTCTAGCAGGATCGTAAAAGATTCTCCCCTGGGTCTATTTTATTTTTTCAATCCCTATTACATATATTTTTAGCATAACTATTTGTACCTTTTGTGCTACAAAATAATTGGAGTGTGTCCAGAGATAGGGGGTCACTCCCTAGCTCTGTCCATGGTTTGTGTGTGATATTATATGAGAGGAATTCATCCCACTTGTTTAGTTAACTTCGTGCTATTTGTATTTATATTTCATTCACCTGCTTAGGTAGGTCTAATATATTTTATTGTTCTGCAGATTTGAGGATGACAAGACAATATCTAGTCTTTATTTGGAATTATGGGAGGAAAACATGAGCAGTGAACGAATAACTCTTCAACTATACTTGGGAGAAGTTGTTGCTCTTATCAATGAAGGGCTCTTGTCATCCTCATGGGCAAGTAAAAAGAAGGCATGTTTTGTTTGTTTTCTGTATTTCCTGGGCCTCCTTCTTTTTCTCTTTATTTTTTCTCTTTACGGTACATGCAGAAGTTATCCTGTGCTGCTGTACCATTTCTTCTATTGATACCTCAGTTAAATATATGCTTTTCTGCCATGTGCAGGCATCGCAGGCAATATGCAAGTTGAGTGAAGTGCTTGGTGAATCACTATCTTCACATCATAATGTTTTGCTCACTTCTCTTATTAAGGAAGTTCCTGGGCGTTTGTGGGAGGTTAGAATATTTTCTGATACAGTGCTTAATCAGTCTCATCCAAATAAATAAATTATAACTTGCCCAACCTATTTCATGAGCACATTTGAGGGTCTTTAGAAATGTTAGTGGTAGTAATGTCAGAAGTTATATTTTGTACCACATAGAGTTGTCACGGGGCTGTTGTATATAAGTGTGGGTTGGGCCACCCTCTTCATTTTGAGTTAGCTTTCGGGGATGAGTTCCGCCCAGGCCTATTTATCATGGTATCGGAGCTCCTAGGTTTGTTTGTTTGGACCCAGCCCAGATGTTGGGTTTTGGACCCGGCCCATTTGGTTTGGCATGCTCTGCGTGAGGGCGGGTGTTAGAAGTTCTTTGTCCACTCCGATTTGTTATTTGGGCTGTTATTGTCTATAAGTATGGGTTGCACACCCTCTATCTTTGAGCTAGCTTTTGGGGATGAGTTCTACCCAAGCCTATTTATCAAGTATCTTCAAACTGTGACATTCAAACTAGTAATTTCCTTTCAAGTTGTGCGTCAGACAGGACCCTTATGTATAATAAAAATGTAATCTATTTATACATTTTCACAAGCATGTGAGTAAATTATTATGCTTGCAACTGGAAAATGCTAATCTATAATTCTCTTAAAAGAAGGGAGGGAGTTGTTACTTGAAAAAATTAGACTGCCAACTATAATTAATTTCTAAGGTCACTAATGTACATTTATCCTAATGATAGGGAGTTACAATTACTAACCTTCATTTTTCAATAAAATTTTGTTCTTCAGTAAAATTAAATTGAAAACTAATAGCATCAAGTATTATATGTTTAAGAAGGATACAAGTCAAAGTATGATCATCCTCCTATGTAACTAATATAATTTTTTTTTTTTTTTTAATTTAAAATATTAATCACGGTAAAAAATCTATAATCCAACAATGGAAATAGGTTACATAATTTTTAAATTACTAATAAAAATATTTTTCATCATATTATTTAACTTATCCATAATATTAAGTTAATTAACTAATAAATATTCTTTGTGGTTGGTAAGGTTGTTTTTGCTTTTATTATTTTTTTGAGATAATTAAAATTTGAATAATATAATTTAAGTTCACATTTCAATAATACACATAGTATAAATATTTTTCCATACCAATATGTGTTGAATTTATATATTATTCGTTGTAATTTTAGTACGAGTAAATAAAAAAATAACAAATATGCGACAAAATCATAAATCTATTATACACATCTAATTATAACAAAATACTTTTCATTAGAATCATTTAAATGAAAATAATGAATATGCTTACTTTACATTCAATTCGATGTCATAGTCACTGTTATTTGTAACATGGCTCATGTCATATTTATTCAAAAATTGTTATGCCTCACTTCTTTGAAAATCAACTCTAGGTTATCCTTGACCACAACACCCATGAATGGTGGTAGTGGGCTTAATCTTAAGTGTTTGAGAGAGATATGGTGCAGCGACTTTCTTAAGTAGGACACAGATGGATGATTGTTGCATAGAGTGCTCCATGTGGGAACCATTTGGATGCACTGAGTCTATGCTATAAGGAAACTTAGGTATTTGTTTGATGGAATACCCAGAAAGTCCACAATATGTACAATTGCATGGCAAGGCTAGCAAGTCAGATGTTGTATGGAAAACTGATGCGAGGCTTGGATACTTTTGTTCCTGATATGTGCATTGCTTACACATGCAATTGTTCTCGATGGATTTCCACATGAACCACACAATTTAACTTTTGTTTAACCTCAAGTATTCTCTTATTACAAGTGATAGTTTCTCTCTGCTAGTTCCCATCTAATTTTTCCGGATTTCCAGCATTTTTCACTAGTTTTTTGTTTTAGCTACAAGTTAGTTTCTTGACAAATGACAAAATTAGAACAGTTATATCATGGATTCATTGAATGCTACATTACATGACAGGGAAAGGATACAGTACTAGATGCATTGTCTACTCTTTGTACCTCGTGTCACGAAGCTATTTCTGCTTCCAATCCTGATGCTCCAAATGCTATACTGAACCTTGTATCATCAGCATGCACAAAAAAGGCACAAAAATATCGTGAAGCTGCTTTTTGCTGCCTTGAACAGGTACTAAATACTGTCATACATTCCTACTACTTTTTGCCATCCTGATTATTTGCTTTTCGGCTTGGAATTGTTCTTTATTCATCTATCTATCTTAAATAAACGGACAATTTTGTAAACCCAATTTGTGAAGCAAAATCTTGAAAGTATGACTAAGAATTATAGCTGTGCTTGCCTCTATCAAGTCAGATTTTTATCCATTGTAAGTTTTACATTCATTGTTGTCTTCCAAATAAATAAATGAATAAGATTTTGTTCTATTTGGAACAATGTGTGTGTATACACATCATATTTTGTATTTGAAAAATATCATAATTGTTGTATTTGAAAAATATCTATCTGCATCCCCATATGTAGCAATACTAAAAAAAGCTTTATCGTTACACTTGCATCTCGCACTCAAGCATTCGTTTGTTTATTGAAAATTGTTTATCATCAATCTCCGAAATCACATCATATAGTATATATGGAAGCATCAAACACTAAGTCCGTGATACCTTCTCAGGTTTGTTCTCTAGTTTGGGTTGGGTTTTCAGCTCTCTTTGTTTCTGTTTTAGGTTATCAAAGCATTCAACAGACCAGAATTCTTCAATATGATTTTTCCATCTCTATTGGAGATAGGCAAATCACTTGGTTCTATGAAATCCGTTCAAATATCATTGACAAGTGATGTTAAAGCAGGTACAGACAAATCCTTTCTTTCATCATATGAGAATTGAGCATCAGATTGATTGAGTATGTTAAGTTTTGAAACTAATGTTATATTGCTTCACCATCGTATTTCTCAATCCTTTTACGATGTGTTACTCTTGTACTATATTCTTTCGGGAAACCTCAAGAACTTATGGTGGGGGACTGAAAGTTGTTACCTGCGGCTGCTTTAGGTCTTGGTGCTGGATAAACTCATGCCGCTCAAATATATTTTGTTATTAATATTATATTCCTGTTCAAATCACTAACTTCGTGTGCATATAACAACAGTTATGAGACTGCCATATGGAGACCTTATCTTTTCCCTCTCAATAAGTGCTACTTAATTCTGGCAGCCATATCTTGATAATGTGCTTGAACATCATCTAAAAATAGTTGACTATCTACAGATGACATGCTATGTCTTCATTTCCATTATATTTGCATGATGTTGTCGGGACTTCCATTGTTAGAGGATCATGTGCTCACATGTTCTCTGTTGCGGAATCAATACCCCATGAGATTCAATGGGATTTGTTATGGACTCAAGTGAAAATGTGTCGGGTTCACGTTCCTCGTTTTATGACTGACCAATTATCGAAAATTCGTAATCTAATTCGATTAATCAGGTAGCTGGTCTAAGCACATGTTTCTTGTTGCAGATACTGACGAGCGTGACAGTGCTCCAGCTGCTTTGCTTGATAAAGTATTAAGTTGCATTACTGCCTGCATCCAAGTGGCTGGGATTGGTGATATTATTGAGCAACAGAAAAACTTCATTGATTTATATATATATTCTCTCTCTCCTAGTTTCCCATGGACAGGTGCTTTGACTTGATTTCCGTCTTACTACTTTCACTGCTTATTGATATTTTACTCATGATGTATGCTTTTCATGCCTTGGACAGTAAAGTTGATGGCGTTTTCTTCCATAAAGGAGCTTATCTCAAAGTTGAAAAGTGGTACAAACAGTTGTCAGGATTCTTCTATGCAATCCAAAGTTGGCACTTTTATTCACGAGGTAATATCTTATCCCATGGTTCTTCGGTTAAACTGTAGGACAAAATTCATGAGCTCTAATTAGGCAATTTTGTAATTTTTCAGTTATTTTACTCGGTGTCGCCTGAAGTGCTTAAAACTTTTCGTACAATACAAATCGGACAGGTATGATATTTGACATTATTTTTTCCTAGCTTTCTCCGTTTACCTCTATTGACTATTTTTCATCCAGCATCATCAGTCGGCTCTTGCCTTGTATTATCCTGTTTTTCCCCTATTTGACCAATTAGTCTAGTTTATAGTTCATCTCCGAAACTTTTCAACTATCATCTTTTCCTGTTTCCAGTTAAGAAGCGTACAAATTTAATCTGGCGCCATATTTGTATTTTGGTTCATCTTACTTCGTTGTTTTACGAGATATGGGGACATCATTCACTTTATGATCCCTCTAAACCTAGAATACGGAAGTTATCATTTACTGTCGTCTTTATCAGGTTCATATAGCGGCAGCTGACTGCCTCCTGGAATTAACGAATCAATACAGTGCTATTCCACCAGTCAATTGGACTGAATTGGCATTTACTACCGAGCTTCTTGATCTGTGCCAAGTGGAAAAAAGTGAACAGGCTAAATCTTTGTTGAAGAAATGCATCGACATTTTAGCAAAGCTGAAGGAGAACGTAAGTAAAATCCCCGCCTAATTTGACAATAAGACCTGATGACATTTCCCAGAACCGTGTTGCCTCTAATGCCAACTTGTGAAAGTTACTCTTTCAATATGTATACAACCACTAGCTCCCTGATATATACAGATGAATAGCAATGGAAGAACTTGTTTTTACAGGTAGACACTGTAAGGTTTAACGAGCTTTTGACGTGTAGTAGTGAATTGTTATTATCTCTATGCTACGAGTTTCAGGGAAAAATATTCACAAAATAATCAATATTCATTTTCATCTCCTTCAAAGAAGTGGTTTTATGTACATTTTTTTTTCATTACAAAACTGGCATCAACAATAATTATGGTTATTGTGCTGTAAATTGGTTTTACTGGATGGCTTGCATAGGTTGATTAAAACGCAGTGAGATTGCCTTGGTACACTGTTAATGCATTTCGCAACTGTACAGGACACAACTATTACTAATTCTCGTCTGTGTTTGAAACTATTACTAATGCTCGCCTCGCCTCGCCTCGCCTGTGTTTGCGTTTGTGTGAAAGAGAAACTGAGGGATGATACAAATTCCATATTATCGAAAAATGAATTAGCATGCTAAAAATGTGAATAATAGATCGCCGATTGATCGTAATTAAGCTTACTGCCCATCTCATGAAACCATTCTTTTGAATTTGTCTCATTTCTACGTAAAAGAGGGCCATGAGAAAACGGGTACGGGGGCAGCAGCCCCGGCAGCTCTTTTTCAGCCCTTAGATTATAAATTAATTAAGACAATCTAATGGCTACAAATAAATAAAGAATAAATCATTAAATTTAATAAGCTAAATTTAATAAGTCAATTGGGGGACAATACATGCAGCGGGAAAAATACATTACAAAAATCTCACTTTTTAAAGAATATTTATGAAGAAAAAAATATTGAAACATCAATATGGTTGGGCCTGATCACAAAAGATGAATTTTTTAAAGATATTGACAAAAAGATGGAACCTAGAAAGTAAATGTCTATTGAGTAACTTTTTTTTTAAAAAATTTATATACTTCTGCTTGTTCTTTTTTTCTTATTCTCCATAATTCTTAGTTGTTTTGATATGGGTCATGTTATTGTTAATAAAATAAAAGATTATTTTAAATGTTTAAGAAATGTTGGACCACAATGAGTTTGATCTGTTGGTTTATGTACTAGATTCCTTTGTGTATTTTCTTATAAACAGATGCTAAGTTAAATTTTCTCTTAAAATTCTTTTTGTTCATAACATGTTATGCAATGTAATTCTTATGGGTCTTTGTTATGAAAAATCACATAATTTTGTGTACTTGGGTTTGGATATTTATTTGTATACTCATCCATTTGATGCGAGACATTGAAATATTAGGCTTAGGTTCTGCTTCTATTTTCATGTTGGTTAATTTGTGATTATGTGCTTCTAAATTCTGTGTGTATAATATGTTTTTATGTAGGAATAATTTGAGTTCTGAGGATCGTGTGAAAGACATGATTTTTGAAAAGAAATTCTAGTAGTGATGAGGAGATGGCTGAAGATGTGACATACGGTAATTTTTTAAATAGCAGTCGGAACGACGAACCAAGAATTGGAATGATTTTTTATACTCTTGATGAAGCATGTGAATTCTGACAGAATTATGGGAAGTCAATGGAATTTGGGGTTAGAATGCATTATTGCAACAAAAGCTAAAAGGATGGAGCATATAATAATGCAGTTTTTTTTGCCGTAAAAAAGGTAAAAAAGCTGAAGACAGAAGAAGGGTAGGAGTTGTGCATCGATGGGAAGAAATAACGTCATGCAAGGCTAAATTAAATATAGTTTGAAGAGGTCAAGTGGTAAATACAAGTTCAAAGATTTTTTTCGAGAACATAATCATGAACTTGAGCCTCCAGAGACGATTCACATGTTGAGATCTCATAGGAAAATGACTCAGGCTGCCGCTGCAGCAATTGTTTTGGCACATGATGCAGGACTCACCCCAAAAGCAACACACCACTTGAGGATTAGACAAGCAGGGGGTTGGGATAAACTCGGATACATAATGGAAGACCAAAAGATTGCGGTCGAAGAAGAGAAAAATACATGGTGTACGGAGAGTTAGAAGGTATAATTAGATACTTTAAGCAGAGAAAATGTAAATACCCTTCATTTTTTTATTCGATGCAATTAGACGGTGACGAACTAGTCACTAATATATTTTGGGCGGATTCTAGGATGATTGTTGATTATGGTAATTATGGTGATGTAAATACATTTGACATAACCTATGGAACAAACAAAGAATTGAGGCCCTTATGTGTATCTACGGGATTTAATCATCATAGGTAAATGGTCATTTTTTGGAGTGTACTTTTGAACGATGAGACCGTCGATTATTTTGCTTGGCTTTTGAAAACTTTTTAAATGCTCATGGAGGTAAAGAGACTCAACGGATCAAGATGCGGCTATGGCGAATGCTTTGGCAAAAATATTGAAAAATATAAGACATGGGCTATACACGTGGCATTTGAATCAAAATGAGATCAAACATTTAGGTTAGCGTATGAAAGATGATTCTTCTTTTTTAACGGAGTTCAAAAGGTGCATGTTTGAATATGTAGAAGAGGATGATTTTGAAAGGGAATGGAAAAATTTACTTGATCATTATGATTTGCACAATAATGAATGTTTATCTCGTACGTACGACTTAAAGGAAAAATGGGCCAAATGTTATATGAAGTATGCATTTACCTTGGGAATAAGAAGCACACAATTGAGTGAGAGTTTGGATAGTGACTTGAAGTCCTACTTGAAATGTGATTTGAATATTTCTAATTTTTTTAAACAGTGTGTCAGGGTTGTCGATGAAAAAAGAGAACGAGAGCTTAAAGCTGACTTTGATGCAAGACAAAAGTTGCCTCCATTAGAATTTTATGATTCTTTGTTGTTGATGCAAGTTTCACAATTGTACTCCCGAAATATTTACACTTTTTCATATCGAACTTCGTGCTTCTTTATGAGTGATAATAGAAAGAAAAAATGACACCCGAAGTTCGCATGAGTACGTGGTTTGTCTTTATGGTTCAAGAGAGACAGAGATGAAGGTACTCTTTTAGCCTACAAAAGACTAGGTTGTTTGTAGTTGTAGAAAGTTTGAAATTCTGAAAATGTTGTGTTGTCATATCCTAAAAAGTATTTATTGTCTAAGACGTGATGTGCATTCCACAAAAGTACATATTGGCCATGTGGACAAAAGGAGTGAAAAGTGCCCAAAACTTGTACAAAGAAAATTCTAATGGTGTAGAGAATGTTACGGAATGGGTTCAAAAGCTTTAGTCTCAACTCTTACGGATGACACTTCAAGCTTCCACCCATGAAGTGACGCAATTGCATGGAGAAAATGGTGAGTCAATGTAATAAGCAAATTTTTGCTTTTACAACAAAAAATGAGAATGCAAATGAAGATGTTTTTTTCATTCAACTTAGAGGACAAACTTAAAAATATGAAAGGTTTGAAGAAAAGGGACGGGAGAAGAAGAACAAAACGACCAAAGGGTTGGGTCGAAAAGGTTTTTAGGAACTCCAAAAAATCAAATTCATCAAAAGAGGCAGTTGTTATTTTTGTTTGTGTTTGACAGATAACATTAAATATTTTTATATACATTTTTTAATTTTTTTTTCTTTTGTTATGAAGTCTTGTCCGTCGATTACCAGTTCTCAAGAAAACATGAATTCTAGAGTTGAGATGCACCATCTACAAGAATATGTGATAGATGGTGTCACTTCATCCAACTCGGTGGTATCTCACATCTATAAAGGTACGTCTTTATACAAAAATAGTTACAATTATTCAATAACAATTTTTTATAATTTATTTTTCTTGTATTTATTCAATTTCAGGCATTCCAAGAAATTGAGGTCGGGGGCTAGTTCAAGAGAAATGCAGGACATATAAATTATCTTTTAGAATTGTAATAGATTAATTTGTACTCGTCAACGGTCATCCTCTTGATAGACCAATTGGTATTATTTTAGCTAATAACTTTCTTGAAAAAAATTGGTGAATTTTTGAATGATGTGTTGGATTTATGTTATTGTACACTAAGTTATTTATGTTCTCTTAGTTTTATTGTGGTCTATGTGATGTATTATTATCATCTTGTCTTAGTATGCATCATGGTCTCAATTGGAATGATAATTTTTCAGCTACTTATTTATTAGTCATGCTTGTTATGATTAAAATGTACATTCAGATTTTTAAAAGTAAGATCATTTTCTTTTACAATTTTTTTATGTAGCTTATTTATTCTTTCTTTTGCCCCATCTTTATTTGGAACTTGAAGTGAAGCATATCTCAAATTATTGAGTTTATTAGATTCTAAATTCATGAAAAGTGGCTAAAATAAAAAATTATGGTGGCTTTTTTTTTTATTTTTATTTCCCCACTTCATGCGTGAATAGAGTTAAATTAATTCATGTCCATTTGTGTTGAGTGCTGGAAGTTAAGTTGAGTTCCTTATTCTTTATTTATTTCTAGCCATTAGATTGTCTTTTAATTAATTTATGATCCAAGGGTTGAAAAAGAGCTGTTGGGGCTACTGGTAGTTACCCACAACAGCCCCCTCTCCCCCCTCCCCCCGTTAACATAAGTACCAAGATATGTGAGCATTTGTTTGCCCTAAAATCACATCATCAAGAATGGACTCCAGTTGGGATAATCCATGCTCAAAGCTAACAATACACACCATCGATCATAAATTAAGAACATAATAAAATGTACCAAAATCATTGACCACACACGAAGTTCCAACAATAATCCAAAACACAATCTCACGTTCACCAGGAAAATCATAAAGAACCCACAAACCAATGTACCAAAATAATTAAAACCACACACAAAGTTCCAACAATAATCCAAAACACAATCGCAGGTTCCAAAAAAAAAAAAAAACATGCGCATCCACAAAATCACGGGTCAGAAAGCCACGACACTTAAGTATGTGCAGCGAAGAAATTAGGGAACTTGACAAACCTGAAAAACTTACCCAAATGCCTCGTCACAATCTCATACATTGCCTCCTCAAGCACCTTCTCATCCTCTTCCTCTTTCCCCTCGTACTCCCACCTCATCACATCACCAAACTCCAGGACAGTGTCCTGCTCGTTGCCCATAATCACCATAAAACACACCCCCTTCAGCACATACCCAGTAACCGGGAGTCGCAGCTCAGGCAGCCAGCACAGACTCAGATTATTCATCATAAAATAACTCGTAGCCTGTGGGCCCGCTTCGACTAAGTATTCTCTCCACTCTTTTATGTGTCGGCCTTTTACCACCAAACTCCCCTTCCCCTTCGTGTCCCTAATCACTATCCTCTCCAGCAAACGGTGGTGCCTCACGAGCAAGCTCAACATGAAAAGCCACTCCGTGCAGCACTTGACAGGTTGGAAAACAGCCCTTAGATGAGCCATCGACAAGTCAAAAAACTGGTTGTCCAGGTCGGGCTCTTCTTCGTCTTTCTTGCTGATCGAGCTAGCCGCTAAAGACACTATGCTCTCGAACCCGGCCTTGTCTTCATTGTACTTAGCCTTCCATTTAATGAATGGGGAGCCCGAGAGGAAAACCGGGCATATGGTGTCCAGGTTAATGGATTTGAGTTCTTTGAAATTTTGAAGGAACAAGGAGAACTTGAGCTCTTCAATCGGCCATGTCTTGTCTAATTCATGGGTTTCCTTATTGGACAATCCAAGCATCAAATAGGGGATGTGATATATGTCATCGTCCCCCACGATTGGATATCTTTTCAGCTTCGAGAGAGTAATGGAAACGGAACGAATGCAGAATGTTGTAGAGGCAAACCGCTTTGAGACCAGAGAACATTGGAACAGATGATTCAAGTCATCCAACCGACTTAGTATCGACAGGAGTACTTCATCAGGCAGGCGTTCAAAGTGGTCGACATTGCTAGCTTGCTGGCTGTTCTTGTTCTTCGACTTCACCATATTGGTTGTTGCTGGTTTTTGTGCAGGGAGCTGTAACAAGAGAATTTTCAAGAATGAGGTACTTGGCAAAGCAAAATGGTATTGAATGTTTTCCATTCAGTTGAACATTTACTTAATTGAATGCAATTTTTGATGAGTCAATGTTGAAAACACAATAGATGATACGAGATTGAGATGATCGGTTCAGTTATTTTTATTTTCACTATACTATTAGAAGTATGATGGATATGATAAATGAATAAAAAATTAATTAGACTTAATGTCTTTATAATTTCGGCTAGTAGTATGATACATGATGATTTAACATGTCATAATGACATTGTATGCAAATATAATACTTCAGTATTGTAAACAATGACATGGTTGTTACATGAAATCCACAAAAAAAAAAATAAAAAAAATAAATAAATAAAAATAAAAAACAAACGAACAAATTCAGTATTGAAACATATCACTTTACGATTATTGAATAAGAGCAAATTCAAGTTTGAAGTACAAAATTCCCAAGTTAAGATTTATATATTAACCAAGAACACGAAGTGTTTAGACTGAAATTAATTCATATAAATATGATCAGAAGCAAGAAAATATATGAAAAAAATATAAAAATAGATGAAAAACTTGCATAACCACACTACTTCCTCACCATAATGCAAAAAAAGCAATTGTATATCTCTCTTTCGATCGAAATTAGATGTAGCATACCCACACAAGAATGCCATAGTGAGAAGACGGGCTAATGTTGTGTCATTAAATTATTCAGTTGAACCAAAGCACTAGTACATCCTTAATTTGCCAAGCTGTAGTATGCATATGAGCCAATACAAGATAAAATAACATCATCTCTTTGGCTAAAAAAGAACTACTCTGGATCGAGCTGAATCAAGATTAAAATTCAAATTATTCCACAACCACGTGAATGGTGAAAATTAATCAAATTTTCATGCTTAATAAATCCACTTGGACAAAATGAAAAGAAAACCAAGTCCAAAATAATTCCAAGTTTTACCTCACTTCAAGTTACTTGGGCCAAACCTGATAGTGCATGGAACATTTACATCTAATAAGTATCAAATTCCCAGAGATTAATGTCTCCAAGTAATTTTGAAGGCCTGCCATTAGTGCAAGACACACCACATGCGATCAAATAATTTTGGAGGCATACCATTAGTGCAAGACACACCACACGCGACTATCAATAAATGATCAATCTTACAATAATTATCAGATAAGGGAAACTTTTTCTACCCCTTCGTGTCAATAGATCCGAGAAAATACAGTAAAAATTCTCCTGAAAATGTAATGAAAAATATCTTTCGACAAAGCAAAGGTCATTGATGTCACAGACATTCAAGGAAATAAGTTTTCAATCAATTTCTAAAGAAATCATAACCACCAAAATGAGAAACAACAGATGATCAACTAACATAAACCATGACTTATTTCCATATGAATATCAAGACAAAGTGATCGTAATAAACAAAAATAAATTAGAATTGTTGCCTCTTTGATCACCGATTTACCTATGAAACAGGAGCGCTCATCAGTTTCAGCAATGGAGGCGGAAAAAATCCTATATTTCTAGTTGAACTTATTAGGGCATTATAAATGAACTAATAGGTTGCTGACGTCATTAAGCGTGTGCATTCAATAACAACCGAGCACGTTTTTATGTTACTAATGCGTTATATTTATATTTTGAACTAAGTAGTCATTTTATTAGCGGCACGCTTTTCGCACTTCATTTCTTAGCTAGTATAACAATCAATGCGATTGTTCAACCTTGACGATGTTATACACTTGCACATCTTCAAGTCAGAAAAATACAAAACAAAAAGACTTAAATACATTGAACTATTAACCAAATGTAACCGGACTAAATATATTCCCAACAAAAGCGAGAAATGTTGGCACACAAATGGAAAAACTTTATAACTCAAGGACTAGAGATACAAACAATTTTTTTGCAGCTTCCATACTAATTTAAACAAAATAACTACCATGGTATAGGGTAGAGAGAGTAATAAAATTTTATACAATAAAGAGAACAGAATTTTGCATCATGCAAACTGAGGAACAAAAGTAGTATCAGTATTGTAGAACAAAGACCATTGCATTGCTGAGAGCTACAACAACCCCAAAGAAGAAAAGAAAGGGGAGACATAAATGCAGTTAAATAAAACCTCCATTACCTAGGAATCATAAACATCCAACTGCATTTAAAAACGGATTTTAAGCAAAGTACATCTCTAGCCTCCATCTTATACCTACTAGGGGTGAGCATGGGTCAGTATAGTTTGGAGATTGACAAATCTCCGGAACCGTACCGATATTCGGAGATTACTAAAATTCAATCTTCGGGACCGTACCAAAAATTCAGTTTTGTTTGGTTCGGAGATTATTATTTTTCGGTTCGGTTCGATATTCGAGACTTTCGAAATGGTTCGGTTTGGTTTGGATTTCGGAGATTATTTTTTTAATGACAACCTCGTTGTATTTTAATTTTTATATATATATTTTTTTTAAATCCAACATTCATCATACTAAAGATTTTATTTTTTAAATAAATTTTAGTTAACTCTATTTGTACAACCAACATTGAAAATTTAAAATTCAAACAAAATATAATAGATTTTTTTTTATGAAAATAATATTTGTTTAACCTTCCATACATGTTTATTATAAGAAAGATAAGTATTCCACAAGTTTATGTAAAGTTTG